GTGGCTAGTCCACTCTTTCACACCTAACAAGCAACAATTGACTGATCGTGGCAAAGGAGGAAAAGGTCTGGTAAAGGAGGCGCCAAGCGTCATCGCAAAGTTCTTCGAGATAACCGCCATCGGTCGTCTGGCTCACCGTGGTGGTGTCAAACGAATCTCCGGTCTGATCTACGAGGTGTGCTGAAGGTGTTCCTGGAAAATGATGTCCGTGATGCTGTCACCTACCTGTTTGTCCATATTCAGAACCACAATCCCCCAACGACCACACAAAATGCTATCCAGAGTTGTCATCTTGTAACCTAACTTGGAAGCAGGAGTGCAAGTGATTTTGATTGATTCTCTTTATCAATTTTCTCTTTGAAAAAAATTACTACAAATTTGGTACGCCTACAATTCAAAAACGGAAAGATTGAGATAATAGATAATTGATCAATTAAAAGAACTAAATGCTCTTCACATTTATTCCGTCCACTAGTGGTCCTACGTCAAGCTTCCGTTCGTGCCCCTAGGCACAGACCCTTCTACTTTTTTATACAATATTTGCTACATTGCATGATATGTGTAGAACTTTACATGATATAATGTAAACGTTTATGATATGTGACGCTCCATTTAATCATTTTGTTCGACCATTTTCCACAGAGATGGCGTTGTTCCGCTGGTAGGAAGTGATAAAAATCCCCATATAGAAATTGAGAGAAGTGGGAATAATTCGCTTTCGGTGCATATTCAGGTCAAAAAAAAAATGAACGACAACCTAAAGAAATTAGTCAGGGGCTTTGTCGTTCAGTTTTTTCCCGGAAATGAATACTAAACAAGCTACAATTAAATAAAAATGATTTTTCCCCATACAATTTTACCTGCTTTACTACCTGTCCCCAGAGAGCCAAAAAAATCAAATTTGAGAGAGAAATTCTCTCTCACGAGCTCAATCTCTCAACATGCCATGTATTTGGTTGACACTCGATTTGTGATTTCCCTTTCACAGATTACAAAATAGAGTACCTGACACTACAAAACATGTCTGGTACCTCTATATATGCAGCAATTCCATAGAAAAAAGTTATAGTGGGTCTCAGAATTTCATGAAAATTGGTATAGTTCTTCCTTATCAAAAAATATTAGACTCGTATTTTTTTATTGCACCATTAGGGTGACCATTTCCGTGTTAGGGTGGTCCAAAAAATCATTTTTTTTTTCAAAAATGTCTTTTTTCAAACATTTATTACTTCTGAACCTCTTGACCGATTTTTACGATTGACGCTTCAAATGAAAGATGTTTTAATGTAGTTTTAAGAAAAATTATGAAACACTCAGAGATATTTGATTTTGTAGGAAAAAATATGTTACAAATGCTTTTTCTTGATTTTCACAGCGAGGGTCTTCAACAACTTCTTATTTGAGTATTTTTAATTGAAAGATCATTTAATTTTACATAAAATTAGCGATGTCGGAGAACCAGTTTTGGAGATACAATTTTTTTTAAATAAAAAATTATTGTTCCGCAATATATGCACCACACGTGCATGGAAACGATGAAGACGCAAGACGTCTCCATCGAGTCACAGCAGCTGTGACTAATGAAATCTATGAGTAACTTACAAGCTGGGTGCAACATTCAGTTCAACCTGCGGGCCGTCCATAAACCACGTAGACCAAGTTTTAAACATTGCAGATCCTACCTCCCCCCTCGTATACTTTACTAAAAATTTAAAATATTTTTACCGAGCGTATACTGTGGTTGGACTCCCCTCCCCCATTGAAGTCTTCGTGGCTTTAAAACAGGCCCCAGTTTGACATTATTAATTTTGGTATCAAAATTCTGGGAGAAGTACTTAAATGCTACAAATAATGACGAGGTCGAAGAAAAATAATTAAAACATGAAGCAATAAAAAAATACGAGTCTAATATTTTTTGATAAGGAAGAACTATACCAATTTTCATGAAATTCTGAGACCCACTATAACTTTTTCTATGGAATTGCTGTATGCATTTGCTTTAACATTTGAAGTCCCTCCTTTTTTACATATTCTGCGCAAAAGATACTTTATGCCCCGCCCCATTCATAAAATTCGGCTGGAAATTCTGTGAGGGGTGAGCTATTTTGTGTGCAGAATGTGTAAAAAAGGAGGGACTTCGAATACCAGACATGTTTTGCACTGCAGTGTCCTCTGTGAACAATTATAGGAAAACAGATTGTGTGTAGTTTCCGATAGATGTCACCGCAAACAACAGCTGTGACATCTGATAGAACTAGGGTTACCATATGGTATCCTAAAGGAGGACATGTCCTCCTTTTTCAGTATTTTGTCTACATCCTCCTTTTGCCCGAAAATGTCCTCCTTTTTTCAGTAAACATCCTTCCTTGCACTTTTTACAGTAACATATTTATAAAATTGTTTTCAAAGAGCGTTGTTGTAGGGCATGTTTGTTTAATTATGTCGCAACCTCGTCTTATCATTCACCATTCACCATTCGATAGTGGGACTAGCAGTATACTACAGCCAGTCTTGTAAGCGGTCACGGTAGTCGACACATTTTCTGTGATAATCGACTGCCTTTGCCTCCGACACTTGCAAAACAAGCTATCATAGTACACTACCGAACTCAAATGTCATTTGACAGGCTCTGTCATACGACACTGTCGCCGAAGACCGTCACAAATGTATGTATTTTAGTTTTTCTCATAATAAGAGCTGCTGATGTTGTGCTTGTGTGAATTCTGAAAATAGCAAGCAATGATGGCCTATGAATAACATTTCTGATCAGAAATGGTTTAATTTACACCACACTGAGGAATTAGAACGAAATCACTCATGTCATATGATAGTTATTTGATAATTTTCTTTTTGCTCGAAGTTATTCTACCGGTTGTGTTGTGTGAGAAAGACGACGGTAGAGCATAGAACACGAATAAAAACAGACTGTCGCGCATGACAACGAAGCGAGTGTCGTAAAAAACGTCAACTGTTTCAACCCCTGACTACAGCTGTCAACAGCCCTACATTTAGGCTGTGGAATTTTATGTGAATTTTCACTTAAATTGGACAGATTTTCACTTAATTTGGACATTTCGAAAATATCTTATACTAATTGATTGGTCAATTTTCAAGAAGATGTTTATCAAAATTGATTACTTGTATGTCAGAAATAAGTCTGGTGCAACCCCAGAGTTATTTGAAAATTTCCTATCTTTAAAATGTAAGTGAAAATTCACCAAATGGAACACAGCCGTAGATTGAATCCAAAATATGTTCGATTTTGACATTCTGGTTCTATGGTATTTTAGGATTTGGTTTAAAGTCCTATGGTAAAATTAATAAGTAGCTTAGAAGTTCGTTTTTCATGTTGGTTTCAATCAGCAATGACGTGTATCCTGATTTCTGTACATGATAAAAGTTTGGATGGTTTTGAGGCTTTAAAGCTGTAGTTTACATGCAAAACAGATAGACTGGATCATTTCCAAGTATCAACAATGAATTATGAAGGCTAGTTTGATGCATATTTCAAAAGTATAACGAGAAGATGAATTGAATTGATAACGACTACTACCTATTCAATCTCAATTGAACCGTTGAAAATCATGAATTTTGTGATAGCACACATATTATTAACCCGTTTGATAAAAACTCATTGCCATCCTTTAATTTTAAGAAAAGGAAACATTGTCCTCCTTTATCTCCAAACCTCAAACGAAATGTCCTCCTTTTCAAGTTTTTGATATGGTAACCCTAGATAGAACATGAATGCAGAAACTTGACAAAATGATCATTTATGTGCATCATATTGAATATGTTTGTTGGGAAGTTACTGTAGTAGCTTGAGCACCTAGGTTTAAATCAAAAGTAATTTAATTTGAATTTGGAACAAATAAAGAGTTAAAAAAGATGAAAAAAAGCATTTGATATAAACAGAATGAACATAACTTCACATGTAGGTATGCTACTTTCTTAATCGATTTTTGTTTGTTTTTGCGCCATTTCCTATCTACTGTACTTTCACCATACACACCCTCATCAAAACTCCCACCCTGAGAAAAAAAAAACTTTTCCGAACAAGCTCAAACCGGGAATAAGGGACTTAATGCTGGAATTGTCATCACTGATTATATCCGACCACATCCATTTGGTCGCCCGAAATCGCACCCTGTCACAGTCCATTAGTGTCCTCCGGAGTCCAGAGTGGCGGTGGTGGTGCTTAACCCTACATAAAAAATTCTTTCAGCACAGCTCTTTTGCCCTTCTGGTACTGTTAGTCTTGGTCGGTCCTACGCTGACAGCGTTGTTGGTGGCTGTCAACGCAATCGTTATCTTTCATTTCGGGTTTCCGGTATTATTGCTGACGTTGCAACTTTCGAACGACCGCTTCCAGCAGCCCTTTATGGTATCAGTTTTAATTCCTTCTTTTTATTACTCTTTGGAAGGGTTCAATTTGGGAAATTGGGGTTACGTTCATTTTCGTCCAATCATCCTTTGGCTTTCGATGGTCGAGAAACCCGGTTGCATCAGTATTCGTTGTGTGATGCTACAAAGCAACCAACCATCCTTAACCACAAGGTCACAATTCTAAGGAAAACAAAAAAATAACAAGACTTGTCTGGGGTCGCATTATTTTTTTTTAACGTAGTCAGTGATGCAGCAAATCGCGCACGTCGCCCTGTCGGAAAACAAAACTGATATGTACAAAACATCTTTGCCCAGTCATGTTCACCATTTTCCGCCCGACAACGACGACCCAGTCGGTTGAGGGGGGCGATGGCCATGGAACTTTAATAAGTTTATTTGGTTTATGGTTGGGTCATTAAATTTCTAAACTCCAGTCGTGAGAGGACGCTTTTCGGAGGCAAGCATAATGTTGAGCCATTTTGTAAAGAGCGACGGTGGTAATATAATTCTCGTTCGACCCAAAGTGGGTGACTCGTTTGAAAGTGAGATCCTGAAAAGTTAATTGAAATGATTTTAATATTAATATTCGATTGTGTTTTTGGCGTCTTCCTTGGATGCTAGGGGAATTCTACCGGCAGCGACAGGTGAATCTGGATCACGAGGGAAGCTACCAGGCAGTGTTTCGACCGGTGATAGTGCTCGGTCAGGTTTTTGCAATATTCCCGGTTCTGGGGTTCGGAGCTGCCCTAGCCAGTCGAATTCGATTCAAGTTGTGCTCCTTTCGGATGTTGTACTCGGCGCTGTTCCAGCTGGGGGGATCGATGATGTCCGGTTTTTCGTTGGTTACATTCTGGACGACCGGAGTGGAGTTTTCGAAAATTTGTAAGCAATCGGGGTTTTTTTTATTCTAAGTGTAACACTTTGTATCCACCATCGATATCGATAGTTTGTAAATTCACCACCCAGAAGCTTACTTTTGAGTGCCAATTGAAGTAAAGGGCGAACACGAAATTATTGCGACACCGAAAATGTCATGCCTGGAATCAAACCAAAATTTTAGGGTAGTTTTATACATATATTTACTTCAAAATCAAAAGAAAAGTTAATCGATGGAGCCTTGAGTGTAAAATTGAACGCATTTTCACTTGATGCCCTCCATCAAAGTCTTTACAGTGTCATCCGGTACCAGTTTCTCAGTTTTTTTTTTCCATTTTCTTAACATGTCCTTCTCGTCTTTGACTGTCTTCTTGCTCTTCCGAAGTTCCCGCTTCAATAATTGCCCTGTACTGCTCCACCGGGCGCAGCTACGGACAGTTTGGCGGATTCATGTCCTTTGGAACAAAATGGACAGAATTGGCCTCATACCACTCCAGGACACCTTTAGACTAGTGGCATGATGCCAAATCTGGCCAAAATAGCGGAGCTTCGTCGTGCTGCTGCAAGAACGGCAAAAGGCGCTTCTCGAGGCACTCAGATTTGTAGATCTCGCCATTTACTGTGCCCTTTGTCACGAAAGGCTCACTCCTCAGTCCGCAAGAGCAGATGGCCTGCCAAATGAGATATTTGGAGGCGAACTTCGACATTTTCTTCTTCTTAAATTTGTCGTCCACATCGAACTTGCTCTTGCCGGTAAAAAACTCCAACCCCGGAATTTGCTTAAAATCGGCTTTTATATACGTTTCGTCGTCCATCACACAGCAGCCATATTTTGTCAGCATCTTCTCGTAGAGCTTCCGTGCCCGAGTTTTAGCCGTCGATTGTTGCCGCTCATCGCGGTTTGGGAAGTTCTGTACCTTGTATGTATGTAGTCCAGCTCTCTTCTTTGCATTCTGGCCGTAGCTCTGCGACATGCCGATCTTTTTAGCCAAATCACGGCTTGAGACGTTGGGATTTGCTTTAATCATCCGCTTCACCTTTCCCTCCGTCTTTTTGTTCTCCGGTCCCGGTTTTCTTCCAGCTCCTTTGCCGTGGTCCAACGTCAACCGCTCCTGGAACCGCTTCAACACTCTGGAGACGGTTGAATGGTGAATGTTCAACATTTTTCCCAACTGCCGGTGCGACAGGTCAGGAAATTCCAGGTGTTTGGAAAGAATTTGTTCTCTCAACTCGCGTTGGTTCACCTCCATTTTCGTTGAATCGAAAAACACGACTTCGAGTTTGACAGCATGTACACAATACACATCAATGAGAAAGTGTGCAAAATTTGGTTGATTTTTACCCAATGGTAAAAAAGTTATGCCCTGTTGAATGTGTCGCAATAATTTCGTGTTCGCCCTTTACGCCATCTTATCTTATTGATATGAAAATTGCTTTATATTATGTGATGATCTTTTCAGGTCTGTCATGGTGGTTACTACGTGGTTACATGAGTATCCAGATCCGAGTACTATTTTTTTTTTTTCTAATCATAACTAAGTGGGCGGGAAGAAGGGAATTTTTAGAATTCCAAAAAGATTACTCTGCGCTTATTTGAGCAAAATTTCACTGCATAAAATCATCATGATAAATCTGTGCCCTTGAGGCTGTGTTCCATTTGGTGAACTTTCACTAAAATTTGACACTTCGAAAATGAATTGAAATGCTCGAAAATGCCGATGTCGTTGATCGACAGATTTTAGAGGAGGTTTTTTTGATGTAGGACTACGTCTGTGATTTCTATATAGGGGTACACTTTGTGAAAACCGAAAATGGAACATATAACAAAATTATGAAAGATTTTGAACGTTAATAACTCAGCTGCCCCTGAACCAATTGCAATAACTTTATCACGAACCGATCAGAAATATTTCTAAGCATCTGCTTAACTTAAGACTTTATCATTTTTCAAAATATCACTATTGAAAATTGCACGAATGTGCAACTGTTGCTCTGATAATTAAAATTAAATATCACCGATTGCCTGTGAACAGCGATTTCCCTAACACAGATTTCAAAGTTGAATTCCATCCGGTCTCACCAAACGGTGTTTATTCAATCACCGCATGGTGAGTGGTGGTGTTCTCCAGTACACATCGAAAGGCTCCCTGCAAGCAGCTGGCTATCAAGGCCTGGCTCAACCGCTGATCGGATTCAGTTCCAATCACCGTGTATGGTGGTGTCCGGCCGTCAGCATCAGCAGCAGCAGTGCTTTCAACGCGTGGCGTTGAACATTGTTCTCCAGTACACAACGAAAGGCTACCTGCAAGCAGCGAGCTGCAGCCCACATGAGCATCCATAGAAGGAGGAAGAAGCCGCACCGTTATTGATCAGAATCAGTAGCTCTTCGTGAGTCGCTGTGGGCCATCTATGCCATGCGCGTCACTTTCATTCCAATCAACATACAGTTCACCAGCCTTATCTGTGTTTAACACCCTAATAGTTCAGCATTACTCAACCATCACGACAAAACGGTCCTTTTCAGGACCACCATAAATTTGTAAAAGAGTATTTTTTGGACATTTGTCAAGGTCATCAATCGGATGACAGTTCCCATATCTAGATAGAGCTTTGATAAGGGCGTAACGCAAATCAACGACATCATCAGGTAGGATAAGAATTCTCCTAATTGACAGTAATGTTGGTTTGCGTGGGCGTGCCATGAATTTCTTTAAATTATCAAGAGAAGTAATTGTTTACAAAAACTGTTACGCCTAATTCCAGCTCTACCTAGATATGTTTAAATCTCTCATACCATGTTCTTGAAGGTAACATTGGAGGTGCAATTTCAAAAACCAAAGTCGGTCGTGGTTTGAAAGTGGTCTGATTTTGATCCAGAGATGATGGATTTTTTATTCTTAATACGCCAATCAATAGGAATTTTTTTCTACGAATCTGTTAAAATTAAGACTTAATCATTTTTCAAAATGTCACTATTGAAAATTGCACACATGTGCAACTGTTGCTATGATAATTAACATTATCACCGATTGCCTGCGAAAAGCGATTTCTCTAACACAGATTTCATAGTTGAATTCCTTTCGGTCTCACCATACGGTGTTTATTCAGTCACCGCGTGGTGAGTGGTGGTTTTCTTCAGTACATAACGAAACGCTCCCTGCAAGCAGCGAGCTGCAGCCCACATGAGCATCCAGAGAAGGAGGAAGAAGCCGCACCGCTATTGATCGGAATCAGTAGCGCTTCGTGAGTCGCTGTGGGCTATCTATGTCAAGCGCGACATACTAGAGTATAAACAGTCAGAACCCCACACAAATTCATATTTCTACACAAAATACAAGCTCCTGCTGCAGTTAATAAATAAGATTTATTATATAAGACCACGTAGTCCTAAGTCACCATTGCGTACAACCCCATAGGGCTGTCCCTAGTAGTTTTTTTTTTTTTTTCAAAAATGATGCCAGTCAGTCAGAAATAAGTCTGGTGGAATAACAGGTTTATGTGAAAATTTTCAATCTATCAAATTTAAGTAAAAATTCACCAAACCGAAGACATCCTGAATGTGAACTTTTTTTTTCTTGACTTATTTTCCGTCGATCTTGTTTTCCGTGCTGAGCATCAATGCTACCGACGCCAGGGAGGCAGCTCCCACACCTGGACCCTACACACTTAAAAAAATTTATGTAAATTTAGGTGCTCTGAGACTGACATATACGATTGTCATTTTTGACATAAAATTGAGTCATAATAGACACGAAATTCAGCTCAATCAAACGTACTTTCGAACGTTTCAGTCGTTTTTTTTTAACGTCGGTCTCTGCTCCGCAATCTAGAGCCAATCACCGACCGACATCGATTGCCATACATTGACGACAATCAAATGTGCAGGAAGGCAGCTTCCACACCTGCGTAGGATGTCGCACCCATTCAAACACACACATGGGCCGGGACCAACGGTTTTACTTCCCTTCCGAAGGAAGACGTGACCAGAGATTTTCATGCCTCAGAAAAATCCCACCGACTTCGGCTGGGATTGAACCCAGACCCATTGGGGTGAGAAAGCAGTGAGATTAAGTATTTCTAAGTGTGTACCTATCGACCCATCAACTCATGAACCGGGGACCAACGGCTTTACTTCCCTTTGAAAGCTTTACTTTGGGATTGAACCCAGGCCTGCTGAGGTGAGAGGCAATCACGCTTACCACTAAACCACCAGCGCCGCTATGAATGTGAATTGATAATATTTAAAATTCAGAAATCAAACACTTGAAACATTATCTGCGTTAATTCCGTACGCAGAATCCCTGAACTTTAAAACTTTCTCAATTTTTTCCATTGCTCGGGACATAAAACCAGTGGTTTCCGTCCAGTAATTTGATCTTTTGTAGTTATCCCGTGTCCTTAGTTTAAGGGCTGTTCATTAACTACGTAGACAGTTTTTTTTATTCTTAACACCCCCCCCCCCCCCCTGCGTAGACAACTGTCCATACAAAAAAAAATTTGTATGGGCCGTGGCTAATTGCCAACCCCCCCCCCCCTCCTCCCTAAACTGTCTGCGTAGTTTATGGACAGCCGCTTAGTGCATGTCGTATTACTCCATCACTATTGAGAAATGATGAAGCATTCGGTTTTGATCAGTGTCTGTTTTTATCATTTACCATCACACGCAAGGAAAATCTTCGCTGTGAAGTAGGTACGAAAACGGCGCCGGTGGTGTAGTGGTAAGCGTGATTACCTCTCACCCCAGCAGGCCTGGGTTCAATCCCAGTCGGCGCCGCCGGGATGTTATGAGGCATAACATCTTCTGATCACGCCTTCCTTAGGATGGGAAGTAAAGCCGTTTATCCCCGGTTCATGAGTTGATGGGTCGATAGGTAGGGTCCAGGTGTGGGAGCTGCCTTCCTGGCACGTCGGTAGCATTGGTGCTCAGCACGGAAAACAAGATCGACGGAAAAAACAAACCAAAGGAAAAAAAAAGTAGGTGCGAGCAAAACGAACAAATGAGTTCATTATACATCAACGAATACGCGTTTGGTGATATTCGCCACTGGTTGATTATCCAACCCAATACATATTATCAATATCAGAAGCGATCCTCTAAAGCAAAATAATCACCCAAAAGCATTTTGGGCAAAATGATTATTTTGAATATTGTCGACTCCTCCTTTTGTTTCCTCTGTTCGAGACCTAACACCACTCTGACCAGTAATTTGATCTATTGTAGTTTAGTGTGTCCTTAGTTTAGTGTTCGTACTTTTGAGAAATTATGAAGTATTCGATTTTTTTTACAGTTGTCATTCTTGCATTTATCGCAATGATCCGACTCCAATTACGAAAGGTCTCGCTATTTATTATTTAAAAAACGTGTCGAAAGGGGTAAGAAGGGTTTAATTATCTCCAAATTTCCCGTGACGCATTCCGTACATTAACAATACAGCTATGCTATCTACCATCATTATCCTGTTTCAGTATCGTGGATGTTCTTCACCATAAACCTAACCATCACCATAGGCTTTACAGTGCTGGCCCGTCGCTGGTCCGGGTTGATGCTGGAGTGGGAAAGCACTGAACAGAGTCTACCCTTTCGCCCTCAACTGGCCGCCAGCAATAGGAGCGTTCGCCGAAAGGTTCTCATCATTATGACTACTCTGATGGTGAGTGCCCTGTTTGAACATGCCCTGGCCAAGCCAGCTGGATTGTATCGAGCGTACAGATGTGGAATAACGGATCTTCTGGAAGCACATCTGATGCAAGCCTTTCCGGAAATGTTCTCGTTCATTCGGTACAATATCTACGTGGGATTTGTGGCTCAGGTCGTGACCAGTGTATTGACATTCTACTGGAACTTCGTGGATTTATTTTTGATAGTGCTCAGCATTGGATTGCGGCAAAATGTGCGACACGTAAATGACATTATATTGAAATCGAAGGCCCAGCATCATTCGGAGACGTTTTGGCACGACTATCGGAAGCACCACCAGAGGGCGTGCAACTTGGTTCACATTGTCGGTCGGAACGTGGCCTATCTGGTGGTCATTTCTTTTGCGAACAATACGTTCTTCATCTGTATTCAGCTGATTGGGGTTTTGAAGTGAGTTTTGGAATGTTTCATTGATTTGGAAGGAAATATTTTATTCTATTTTAGACCAAATCCGGGAATTATCGTCGCCATCTATGTGTGGTATTCGTTGGCACATCTGATGACTCGAATGGTGCTGGTTGCTGTCTACGCTGCTGCGGTGCATGATGAGTCTAGGAAGCTTCTGCCTACGTTCAGGACTCTTCCGACGCTGTATTATAGCAAGGAGGTAAGATATCACGGGTTCTTCCTTCAGGGCGACGTTGGTAAAAAATTGAAAAAGAAAATCTAATCCACCATCAATTCAGATGGTGTCCATAAAACGGAGTATCCCTTAAACGAAAATCGTTCATCCCAGATAATCTTCTTCGCTTTCTACGATGTAGCAATAAATTGTCCGGAAATTTCGCTCTTTCATTTCAAAAGCCACCATCCGGGATGGTAAATGGCGCACGTTCATAATCTATCTTACCGTATTAAATATAGCTTCCGGGCAGCGCGTACTCGATTTCTTTATCTTTTTTTTTCTGTCTCCCACGAGGAGGTGGTCACCGTCTTCCTTTAAACAGGCCACTTTATTTTCCTCAACAGCACGTCCGATTCCTGGTAATCGGCGGCGTGGGCTCGTCTCCAATGTCCATCGTGGATAGAAAGCATAATCTTATCTGGAATTAATATCTCAAGGAATTAATGACTGTAATAGCAATTGCCCTTTGCGAATAGAGGCTTGTTGGATGCAACAGGGATACATATCTTCACAGCAATGTCATTTTGCGGATGCTTTCTATCACACAACGCGTGATGCTCTCTAAAGTACCGGATCGTGCCAGCATTAATTTCACATTTACTGACACAACGACCCCTCCTCCACCCAACACTCAATTTGCGCGGACTTTCAGAAATTGATTTGGCTTATCTTCTGTATTATGTATTTAGGTCCAACGATTTCATCAGCAAATGGAAAACGATACGGTGGCGCTGACGGGATTCAGATTTTTCCATCTAACGAGAAAGTTGATTTTGAAGGTGAAATTCGTTAGCCTAATTGTGTGAATGTGCCTAATGTTTTCCTTTTTTCGTTTCCTTTTTCTGGCTAGATATCCGGAACGATAGTGACTTACGAATTGGTGCTGCTCCAAGTTAATGACTCCGAAGAGAAAAATGGCGACCAGAATCCATGTACTTAGGTTATCTAGGTAAATAGCTGTCAACATCTATCAATGCTGTTTTACAGTTAGAAGAATCACTGTAGCTTGTAGGTGGCAACAATAAATAAAATAAAAAGATGGAAAGGTTTTTGCTGTGCTATTAATTTTCGGTACCCTGTATGTAAGTACTAGCCACCTCAGTCAGGAGCAATCCTGAGCCTCCCTGACTAAAATGGTCTCAGTGTTGGCTCACTTACCAAAATAGGTTCTCGCGAGGCAGGGAATGATCGGACTGGATACAGAAAAACTCCTACAGCACTTCATTTTCCAAAACTACCACTATTATTCTCCCACAATCTACTAGCGTACAACTCCCACTTTCTTACTCTGGCCTGTTTTCTGTTGTCCTTCACTTCTTCTTCGGGGCCGCTTCTCTTCGCAGCTCCACCACCACATGTCCTCTTTCGTCACATATTCCACTCTGTTTCCACTCCTTCGTTCCATTTCTGTTCTAGTTGGCGGCGTTGGATTCCTCCTTTGCGCGCGACTGACCTACTCCTTGGCTCGGCTTGTTGAATGCCGATGGACTGCCATGCCTACCCGTCTTTTGCCACCGAGTGTGTTGACGATCCAGGAGGACGGCTTAGTTTTCCCGTACGTCTCCAGACCAGGCTTGGGAATTGTCAACCTCATGATGATAAACTATGTAGCAAAGACAACAACAAAAAGTCAACGCTCATCTGACAAGCACGATACAACAAACTTCTGCTTGAAAGACTGGGCTGTCTCTCAACGAAACATTTCCTATTCTTGTCTTTCTATCATTTGGTCACGAAACATCTGTTGCGTGACGTTTTCCAAGACGACTTAGTTGTTTCGCGTGCGTCGGACGACAAGATTGACGGCAGCTGTTGACATGGTTAGTAGTAGTAAAATTATGTTTATTTCTGTTGATTATGGTAGTACATTGATTCATCATTTTAATTGATTAGCCTACTTGGCTCTTCATCTTTGTTTAATTTGATATTCTAATTTAATATTTGCATTTTTCAACTGGTTTACAGAATATCCCTTTGGGGATGTGTTTTATTTGAATTGAAAAAAGTGATAGCTTACCTAACTACGAGTATAACTTAACCTAACGTGCTAGATCACGTACGATCTGATGATTTGATCTCAGACAGGTGTCTCTGAACCTTTCCAGGATGAATACTAGACTGATGCAAAATTTGAAATTTTCGCTCCACAGTGCTCAAACGGTTCCAAATTGGGCCCTGATTAGCCTCCCAAAACTTGAACTCTTTTGGTGAGAAACTGACTTGGCACAAGCCATTTGAAGTTTATATGGAAATTACTATGGGAAAACAAAACTGTTTGTTTATTGTCTTCTAGCCTTTTTACATATTGTACTGTTAACAAATTCTATTGCTATTCTGATAGGAATTTTTATCAGCTACAACTTTGCAACTTTGCGTTTTTCAGCCAAACGTCAAATGAAATAGTTATTAATTGATTAAGAGATTGATAATCTTATGGCAAGATTAAGCAACTGTATTGTGGGCAACACTGTATTCTTGAGTGTGACATAGTAGCCATGATTTTTGTCCTCTATTCTACGCGCCATAAACGCCAATGTTGCCTGCTGAACAGTTGATTGAGCATAATCATAAGACATCAGTGACTTGAATCCTTAATCATTTTTGTTCCTTACACTTGATCTAAAAGTGGTCTTGAACAAAGCTGTAGCTGAGAAAATTTTCAACAAGCTCAGTTATCATTTTCTAAAGTAGCGTAAACTAGTGAATTTTGAGATAGATATGAACCGAAATTATGGTTTCCCCATAGTAATTTCCATATAAACTTCAAATAGTTTGTGCCAAGTCAGTTTTTTACTAAATGAGTTCAAATTTTGGGAGGCTAATCAGGGCCCAATTTGGAACCGTTTGAGCACTGTGGAGTGAAAATTTCAAATTTTGCATCAGTCTAATGAATACTCTCCGTTCTTCTAATGTTTGAATTCCAGCCAGGAAGTGGATCTCAGAATTTCTAGTCCGCGGGGGACTGTTTAGGACCATCCTAAGGATCTTGTTCTGGATCCTTTGGAGTTTAAGGTGATGGCATTTTGCGCAACTCTCCCAGATTGGCATACCGTACTCGATTACAGGAAGGATGATTTGTTTGTAGACAGCAAGCTTATTTTTCAGGGACAGGGTTGACTTCCTGTTGATAAGTGGATACAACGATCTTATCAAGATGTTGCACTTGGTTTTTGTTTTGTCAACGTGCTCCCTGAAAAGAAGCTTGCTGTCTAGTGTTAGCCCGAGGTACACGACCTCATTGGACCATTGCACCACTGTGCCGTTCAGGCAGATCTTGTTATTCTCCGACGGAACAAGTCTAGGAGATTTAGAGTGTGGAAAGATAATGACCTGGGTCTTTGCCGCGTTGATACGGATCTTCCAGCTGTTGAAATATTCAGACAGGACGTCCAGGCCTCTCTGAAGTTTGGCAGTCAGAGCTCCGATGACCTTACCCTTGTAGACGATGGATGTGTCATCTGGGAACAGAGACAACGATCCACCATCAGGGAGAGCCGGCATATCGGAGGTGAACAGGTTGAATAGGATGGGGCCAAGAATGCTTCCTTGTGGAACCCCGGCACCGATGTTGAAAGCATCCGATGAGATGCCATTCAGAGAGACTCGGAACGTCCTGTCTGATAGATAGTTGTTTATGATCTTCACTAGGAAGATTGGAAGACCGTACTGCTGCAATTTGAACACCAGGCCATCATGCCAGACATTGTCGAATGCTTTTTCAACGTCCAACAACGCCATGGCAGATCATTCCGTCTCGCACGCTGAGCCGATCAAGTCGCATCGGTCTCGTTGTACGACACTATCATTTAGTTTTGAGTTTTTCCCCACGCGAGGGTTTTTTCTCGCCAAAGTTAATTGGCATAGTGTTTAGACGACTAGTGCGCGAGTGAGGAAGCCGTTAATGATATGCCGAGTGCTTTCATTACGGTCCAGCTTTAACCCAGCATCATCGCAACATCATCAGCAAAATCATCACCACTATCGGTACATCACCCCATCGATAGCAACAACGAAAGAGCGTCATATTGCCTACCGAGTCGACCGAGGCACACCAGCATCGAGGTTATTGACTCTGCAGCCGTTGGATCAAACAATTATATCTCTCCAGTCTGCTGCCGCCTCAGTGCGTTAGGTATAAATCGTGTCGTTTGTATTGTTCTCGCCAGTATAGCATCTTCCTTGTTTCCCTGGTCCAATATTAGATTGGTGTTTAATTAGGGTGATCCAAAAATCCAATTTTTTTTTTCGCTTGATTTTTTTTTTCTTGATTTTTTTTTTTTATTATTATTTTTGTATTACTTAGGGTGATCCAAAACTCTGTAAATAGTATATAATCATTATTTTTTTTTTTATTTTTTTTTTTGATTTTTTTTTTCTTTGCATGTATTACTCGTTAGTAGAGTGAAACTATATATATATATATATTTTTTTTTTTGATATTATTTGAAATTACTGCAATTATTTGTAAAAATTTTTACAAAAAACACCATTGCGGCGATATTTAACCGCAATGGATGAAAATGATAAAGGCGGGGGATGGTCGCTTTCCATCTCAGACGACGAAACTCTTAATTCCACCTCACACGAAAGTCTCGAGGAAGTTGTGGAAATGGAAACCCTTGACGTTCCAGTTGACTCGCTCTCCAGCAAAAATACTGGAGCATATCCCAAGAAAAGGTATCGCCCACAACCCTCTCCCCCACCATCTCCTCCTCGTCCACCTGCACCCCCCACACCATTGCCCCCAAAAACCTCTGCGCTCCCCCGCCTAAAGGCTTACCCAGAAGCCTCGAAAGGCCCATGGGTTGTTTTTTTCCGGCCCAAACAAAAACCTTTGAACATTCCGAGGATCTCTAAGGATCTAACAACACATTTTTCGGCCGTTACCGATATTTTCAAGGTAACACCAATAAAACTGCGCGTTACCGTTGATGACCGGAAGCAGGCTAACCAAATTGTTGCGTGCGAGCTTTTTTCATTGGAATACCGAGTCTACATACCCAGTAGTGAGGTAGAAATTGAAGGAGTGGTCACCGAAGCGAGTTTGACTAGTGATGATTTCTTGGGTCCCGATTCCTTCGGAATCTTTAAAAACCGTGCTCTGCCGAAGGTGAAGATATTGGACTGCCTTCAAATGCAGTCAGTATCTGTAGTAGGCTCCAAAAAAACTTATTCCTTGTCAAACTCGTTTCGTGTGACGTTTTCGGGTTCAGCGTTACCTCACTACGTCGCTATTGGCAAGGTTCGGCTGCCTGTACGCCTGTTTGTACCTCGGGTAATGAACTGCTCGAAATGTAAACAACTTGGTCATACATCGGACTACTGCTCGAACAAACCACGCTGCGATCAGTGTGGCGAGCAACATCAAGAGGGCCCTTGCGGTGCTCCACCAAAATGTGTGTACTGCAAGGAGAGCCTGCATACCCTGACTAACTGCCCGAGGTATAAACAGCAGGGAGAAAAACTTAAGCGGTCTCTGCAAGCTCGCTCCAAGAGAACACTAGCAGAACTCTTGAAGAATACCGCTTCATCTTCTCAGACCACACCAAAAAACAGTAACACGTTCTCCATTTTGCCAGTTGATGATCTAGACTCTGACTCAGAGGGCGGTGAGGGTAGTCCGTTTGTTTTTAAAGGCAATACGAGAAAACGAGCAAAACAACACACTACCGAAAAGCCTCGTAAGGCCACTCGTACGGACCACCCTTCCACCTTGGAAAATTCAAGAGGTAACGGAAATACACCGAAACCCATTCCACCGGGTTTTAAACCTTGTAATTATGACAAGAACTTTCCGTCACTTCCAGGATCATCTAAAACCCCAGATGTTCCAGTTTTTCGGCCAGAAAATCAGCTGAATAATCAGCAAGAACATGCCCCCATGTTCACGTTTTCTGGTATTGTGGATAGCTTCTTCAGTATATTCAATGTCTCTGACTC